CCGCGCCCGCGCCGCCGGCGCCGCCGCACGTGCAGCCGCTGGGGAATGTTGGGTTTTGGGGGGAGGTCGACTTGGTGGGCTTCAGACATCTCAAGCTAGTGATGGTGGGCTGGTGGCCTCCCAAACGGACACGAAACGCTTGGGCTTCAGACCTCTCAAATATGAATGGGCCCAAACGAAAGGGGACACGAAACGCTTCGCTCCAAAGCTTTGCAGCCACGCCATGCCCCTGCCGTTCAGATCGAGCTGAGGCTGCTGGTGCCCGGTCAAGTGATCCACCTCTACCGCCACAATGGCCTCGCACGCGCGGCACGCTGCGCCGCTGGACATGAGGTTCTCACGCGCATCATCCCATCACAGGCAGACTGACGTGATGAGCGTGAGTTTAAAAAATCATGTTTCTGGTGTGGTGTGGTGTTTTCTCTGGGTTGCAAAACCCAGGTTTTCTGGTGTTAGAACACGGTGAACACCCTGGTTTCTTTGCGTGTTCCGGTGGGTGTGATGCGCTGTGGAATAAGATGTTATTTTGAGTAGCTTCTCGTACTAGTAGCTTCTTCTTACTAGCAATGAGTAATGCCAGGAGCTACTAGTGGCGTCCTTGTTTCTAGTAGCGTCCTTGTTCCTGCTGGTGTAGAGGAGAAGACGACAGAAGATTTTTGTTGTTCGCAAAGTTGCAATCTTACGAATCTTAGGAGGTTGCATGGAGGTTGCCAAGGTCAGACAAGCGGAATCTACAATAGGCGCGTGGAGGTTCCCTTCGTGTGGATGCAAGCATTGTCACAAGATCTCAGAGCAGTTTGAAGGGGCGAGTGGGACGGGTGAGGAATTCCAAGAAGTCTTTTTGTCTCCAAGTTTGTGCATGGAACTTCATCTACAACGTGGGCGCTTGCCACTTGTGTTGGGGTTTTGCTGGATTCTTCACAGGGTCTCCAGGCGTTTGCCACGGAAAGAGATCCCACGGTCTCCTGATTCACGGCAACCATTGACTCCGAGCTTCCATACATTGACTCCTCTACAAACTGATTTTTGGTCCGTGTTGGTTTTCTTTCATCATTGTGTTTTCCTTTGGGTACTCTGTTTGGTAAGCTGTTTGGTATACCCTGTTTGGTAACCTTTACAGCCAGCTGTTTAACTCCCTTCCTTGTACCCTTTACAGCTGTTGGTATATATACTCTCATTGGGTACCCTTTACAGCTGTTTGGTATACTCTCACATCCATTGATGTCCCCCTTTTCGATTGCTTTGGCTTTGGCAATCCTCGATCACAAGCTCTGCATAGGAGATGCTCCATGACCACAAGATGGAATCTTATGCGCCTCAAAGCAATGGCGTGAGACGGGCGAATGGTCGGGGGTCGGTGTTGTCGCTAAAGAGGAGTTCCCATGTGCCAGGAGTATGTGTGTGTGATTTGCTGGGATTGAATTGCTTGTTGCTTGTGTTGCTCGATGAAGGAGCATGCGATATTGTTCCTGTTGGCATCCACACATACCCAAACTACCTAATAACTTGGTGTCAGACAAATCCGTTCTTCTCACATACCTGTGATCCAATTATGTCTATGTTCCCTCTCACTCGTGTCTTTGTTATCAGTCGCCGTGCAAGTGGAGGCCAGTCTTCCATGTTCTTTCCCTCAATCATGGCATCTCATGTTGGCTTGTCCTTCGGGATAGATGCATTTTGTATCATTTTGTCCTCTTGTGGATTGACAACCACCAAACCCAGGCGAGTACGCCGAGTCGCATGAGCGGCGGTCACAGTCGCATGAGCGGCGGTCACAGTCAATCACTCACTGAAGCAACTAGTTGTCAGTGTTGCAAGTGTGAGTTTGCCAAAAACAACAGCTAACTCTGAGCAGGAAGAGTGTCTCTGTCTATAAGTCTTGTCAGCTTTTTTGTTTGGTACTCACTCACGCTGTCAGTGTTTTGCTTCTCCCTAAGGATCCTTGGACCAGACCATACCCAGCCATCGCCAGGGTGGAACCCTTTATCACAGGGGTTTGAGGGACCCCTTCAGAAGCCTTGTTTTGGGGTCCGGATCCTCCGACTCCTTGGCAGGTTCTTCTCGCCGACTCCTGAACCCCCAAAACCCTCTTCCGTTCCCGGCGTTTACCCCGCAGCGTCGGCGGAACCCGGCGAAGGTTCCCACGAGGTCGTTCCCACGAAGGGGCTCGATGTTCGCCACGCCTTGATCGAAAAGATCAGGGGCTTGATCGAAGGGTCTTCCGAATTCCCCTTTTCGTCTTCGGTTCCTTGGTACACTTCTCGTTTTGTGCCCCTGTCCAGGGAACTTGGTACACTTCTCATGAGTGGCTCATTTAAACCTCTCGACAGGTGGCATCCCACGAACCTCTACGAACCACTAGGAACCTCCGGCGCGCCGCAGTCAGCCCAAGAGCGGAGGGCTCTCCGCGCGCAGATCCGCACGTCACTCAGGCTCGCGCCTTGCACCAAGCGTGTCGCCTTGATGTGACTGTCCCAGCCTGGGAGCGGCTTGGTGGAGAGGGACCAGGGACCCGAAAACCGACCCAAGCGTGAGGCCCTGAGACCGCCAGAGCTGCAAGCTCAGCCATGAAAAGGACCGCACAAAACGTGGGGGGAGGAGAATTGACATGGAAGTTCAGGGTGTGTTTGAAACCCAGAGGTCACCGCTGAGCACGCTCGGTTCTTCGGGTAGGAAATGGAGCCAAAGAAGATCCATCGACCAAGCACCAGTCGTTTTGGTTCGTTTGCACGATCATCAGACTTGCGAATTTGCACCCCGGGGAAACCCGGTGCCAAGAGCCTTTAAGACGCAAAGCCGAACAGGTCCAAGACTGGTGTAACTTGGAATGTTTAGGGACCGGTGAAAGGCATGCAAGGGTCTAGAGAACGGAAGTGTGAAGGATAGCAAATGGAAAGGGTGGCAATCCACGAGCAGGTGCAATGCTTGCCAGTATGTCAGACCAGTTGTTCTTCCAATGACTTTATGATATACTTTATGGCACGTATTGTTCCAACAACTCTATTTTGGATGAACTATTTGACGCATGTGCCAAAACTTGACTTCCTGCACTGGGAGACGTAGGGACAATAGTAACCGATGATTATTGGCCATAAACAGTCGTCCCATTCCCCTGTGTCTTTGCTGACTGGCCTGGACTGACAGAGTCAGCTGAGCTCAGGTCCTTTGATCAGCGGGAGCTTTGCGCCTGTTGCGATTCGGACGCTGGGACCGCGTCGCATTGCATCGCCCACAGACAGCCCTGCTTCGGACTGATTCGGACCGAGTCCGAGGTCAGTGCGAGTCCGAGTCCAGCCTGGGTGTGTCCCTGGAACAGTCGGTAAGAGATGATCACGAGTTTTTGTGAAAGGTCCTTGTTAACCATCATACTTATTAAGATCTTATAAGATCTTATAAGACTTCAGCCGTATCCCGAAAAGTCAAAGACCCTTTCTTAAATGGTTGATCTGGTTTTGTAGTGTAAAACCCGTAGCAAAACAATGGTTGTTCAGTAAAGGCCAAGGCTATTATTTAAATGGTGGGCCACGACTTCGTTTGGGGTATGGTTGAACCAAACGTCGTCTTCTTCACGTTCGTTCCAAACGACGAAGATCAGCGGGCAATACTCGGGGGCGAGGCTTTCGAAGTTGGGCTCCAAGCGACGGAGAGACCTTCCGACGGCAGATTCGGTAGCCGTCTTTCTTTGAAACTCAAAATAGGTATATATAGCTATTCCACTATACATCATAAATAAATAAGTTCTTACCTACGAACTATGTTACCTAGATACATGTTCCCCACTTGTGATGTATAGGTAGCTATCCCAGTCCCACAGATGGCCTGGGAGAGGCATATAGGTCCGACGAAAGGAAACAGGCCGTGTTCATCACACATTCCCTGAGTCCGACCGAAGGACACGCAGGATTTGCATGATTCAGTGAGGGAAAAAAGGTGGAACTTTGGACAAGGTCCTTCAAGATCAAGAGTGATTGCCAATGATTGCTTTGTTGCACACAAAAGAGCGATCTCATGAAATGCAATTCTATTCCTTTGGGATCCTTTTGGATCCCACTTTCGGCGGAGCAAATCCCTGATTTGGGGAGAGTCACACGTCACGGACGTCGCGAGTGCCTGCGTCTCATCCTGTCATCGAGGACTTCACCTGGGCCTACGTGCTGCAGAGCGAGCCGCAGAAGATGCTTGCGAGGCCGACTGGGAGAGGTTGGATGCCAGATCGACCACCTCTGGGCAAATCCGTTTCCTTGGGAATCGTTTCACCTGTAGTAACAAGAAGCTTTCTAGTTAAGAAAGCTTCTTGTTACTACAGGTGAAACGATTCCCAGTGAAGCTTTCCAGTATAGTTCAGCCGCATCACACCACGCCACATGGCCCCCCACGCCACGCCCTCTGTGTGGAACGCGGATGGGCCCACGTTCGTGTGTGTTGGTGCATCGTCGACATGCGCATTGGCCCCCCACCGCGGTTGGGGGGTTCGCCCTTTGAGGGGTGCACGCAACCTGGTGGCTTAAGGTTCAATAGCATAAATCAATTCTTTTTGGTATTCAAGGTCTTTGATATTGGTATCAAGCTTATGATATTGAAGGTACAACCTTATTGCAAGGTCTTTGATTTTGGTATTCAAGGTCTTTGATATTGAAAGAATTTCTGTCCTTGAATAACATTTAGGTTGGCGTAATTTTGGCCTAAACAACCATAGGTTCCACCTTCCCAGCACGGTCGTCGATTCTGCTCATGTTCCGTGATGAATCAAGCTCTGCCAGTGCCATGAACCATAGTAACAAGGGCATGGCTACTAGTCACAAGGGCATGGCTACTAGTAGCTTCTTGTTACCTTGTTCACCCGACCGTCGAGTCGACCGGGTCGACCGTGGCCCGACCGAGGCACCATTGCTTCGCTTGCGGCCGGGTGGTGTGTGAGGGCTGCTCGCGGAAGAGGCGGGGCAGGCATCTCCGTCGTTTTGGGCCTCACCGACAGTACAGGAAGACACGGAACTGGGAGAAAAAATACCATATTTTCGGCGCAGAACTCTAAGATGATCCTGTTACGTCCCTCATCCTTTTGAGAGGATGGATGGGATGGAGATGGAGATGGAGATGGAGATGGGATGGGATGGGATGGGATGGGATGGGATGGATGCCTTTGGGGTAGGACTTTGTCAGTTGCCTGTACTTGGAAGAAAAGCATTGCCAGGGATGCTGCAACGGGATGTTTCTTAACCATAGAATGTCCCATTCCTCCTTCGAGTAGATGGGACGATTTTTATGCTCAGGATGAGTGGCTAGGATAGGCAAGACTCTACGCTATAATTTTGAATCCTCTCACCAGGTTCATGCGATGTGCATGTTGGGAGCATGGCACACAAAATAAGTACACATGTACCGAATTGATCGATATAGAGAGGCTCTAGCTTGGCATGTTCCAAGACATTTCAACTCTAATGTTGTTTTTGGTTGCATGCCTGGTGTCCCGGAGATGGTGGTCTGTTTGCACGTCCAGGCTGGCGCACGAGCGCTTGGGCTTCCAATTGCCGGTGAGAACCTGTGAGCTTTGGCACAGAAGCCGCGCCGCGGGATGAGCGATCAACCACTTCACTGCTATGGCTGTGGATAAGAATCGAAACCCCCGACATCACGGTCAGGTTGATCATTCTTTGGGAATCCATGCCTGAAGGCTACCGGCTAGACCGAAGGCTGCTTGAAGTTCAAAAAAAAAAAAGGAATCCATGCCCTTCGTTTGGATGGGTTTGGGAAGCTTCACCGCTTCACCCATGTTGGGGTGACCGCGCTAGCGCTGACTAAGACGAACGTAGCTTCGTAGCGACGAACGTAGCGATGCACTTGTTACGAACGTAGCTTCTTGTTCGTAGTAATGCCCTTTGCTACGAACGTAGGGACAGTACCGTATCGTTTTACTACAAGTGACAAATTTGGGATTTATGAAGATGATGAATAGGTTCAACGCCTGGGACGTATCGTTCGCGTCGACTCCTTCATCGTCCAAGTGTTGTGACTCCTTCACCTAAAGGCTGAAGTTGTTGCTGCGTGTGATTTCTGGTTGGGTGATTCACATGCAGTCGCAAGTCACGGCCTGATGCCCGGAGCTGATCACAACACTGGCTTGTTCAGCAACCGTGCAGCCACAAAAAAGGGTCGAATCTTGGAGGTTCCAGCAACTAACAAACGGAAACAACACCAACAAACATCAATTTACTCAAAGGCGGGCAATTCGAATGTTCTGACAGCCCTTACGATCCGACTTTTGGTCTGCTGAAAGCAGACGGGTGTCGGCCATTCCTCCTTGTGGCTCTGGCTCTTCTTCTTCTATGAGGTCTTCGCAGAACAACTGGTGTTTTGCCCTTCGCCCTGCTACCCAGTCCTGTCCACGTTCCAATGTCCCACCAGAATCCGAGTCCGGGCCCGACCTCATGGCAGGGGTCGGACCGAAACTCCACTGAAATGCAGGAGTCCGGACCTGAACCAAACCCTATTATATTTCCCTAGGGATCCAGTCGTACGTCCTCAGAAGGTACGACTGGACCCTCCAAACCTACATAAACAGTTTCCAATCACCTTCTGAGAAGGTACTTGGATCCCCTAGGGTTTGAGGGCCCCCAATTCTTAGGGTTTTCTCCACGATTTTCCACGACACGGACGAATAGCAGAGAGTTATGACCCCCACCTCTCCGCTCGGCCGCGTTCCACCCGAGGACCGCTGTGCCTTCCTGCAGTTTGAGGACGCAGACGATGCGCTCCGGGCCTTTGCCAACGAGGACGCGGGGAATTGGTTTCCCCACTAAAACGCACAGGTGGTATGTCATGCTTCAATTGCCTACTAATAAGTCGCAGAGAAGAGCAAGTGAGACGTCGAAAAAGGACCCTCAGGTGGGGTCACACAAGACACTAGACCCCTGTGATTTGAAGATCGCAAAGCCACCTGGGGGAGAATTGTTCAACCACCTGTCTGACTCGATTGCCACCAGAGCCCCTCTCGCCAGCCAACCTGATCGATCACTCGGTCAGCCGAAACTGTTCAGCGATGCCCAAAGGACGCCATTAGCTTCTTGTTCCTATAGTAGTAATGGCCTCCAACATCCTCCAACCTAATTGCGATGGCCTCCACCGTGCGTAGCTTCTTGCTACTAATACCGCTTGATCTTTGGGTTCGGCCAGGACTGGGATGGCTAAGGAAGTGGGTTCTCGGAATGTCTCGAATCCTTGGGAGGTGAAACCCTGCAGCCAGGGGTCAGGCAGCCAGGGGTCATCAATACAAATGCTCTTCGAAGCGCCTCCTGTTTTCCAGGGAAACTGGCCCAGGTCCAAGATTGTGTGACCAGCTTTGGCAGAGGGGTTGGGGAGGTCACCACACAAGTATGGAAAGCAGATCACCACCACCTATAGCCACCGGATAACCTCTAGACTCTTTGGGGGGACTAAAATGAACAGGTGTAAAGTTCGCTTCACCCTTGATTTTACAGAGAAACTGAGAGAAGCACCACCAACGTTGGAGTCTTTCTCAGCATGATGTGAGATCCCAAAGACTCCTTGGAACCTCCTCCTTCATGTATGTCATATGTCAGTTAATTATGGCTGGAAGCATCTGTCTTTGGACTTTATGTCTCAGTACAGTACCTGAACTCATCCAGCAAATCCGCCCGCACCGAAGGTGCTGAGGCGTTGTGTAGGCTTCGCATACACCGCAAGATATAGCTGCTGGATTAAACAGCTTAAGTTTTAGCTCAGGCCTTTTTGTGGCTAGAACATTAGTTTTTGATGGTAATTGAAAATTGACAAACATTGATATCGTGTGTATGATTGTCCGCATGGCTTCAGAGGTAAACGTTCGCGATGCCGGTTATGCAGCCGGGGGAGACTCCATTATTGACATCGTGGGTGTGTTCCTCCGTGTGTCCTGCCCGACCGAGACAGACAGACAGACAGACAAACAGACAGACAGACAAACAGACAGACAGACAAACAGACAGACAGACAAACAGACAGAGACGGAGACGGAGACGGAGACAGAGACAGAGACAGAGACAGACTGACAGACTGACAGACGGGCTCCGACAGCACAAGTTGCTGCTTCCCACACCCATAACCAACCCGTATCCTCGTGGGGTGCTACTGACACATTCTCCATTTAATCTGTGCGGGCGGCTTCTACCGCGAAGCGGTGCGAATTAGGAGTAGGACAGCCGAGTATGTCGTAACATAGTCTGATATATCTAGCAACCTCAAAGTCAACCAAAAAGCTTTTGCCACGTCCAACATCGAAAATCACCGCCTTCTTTGCGGTGGCTACTCTCCTGCGCCTCCCCCTGTAGAGTCTGTACAGTCCCACAGCCAGCTACACTTTGCAGGAAGAAGCAGCAAAGAACTCAGCGGCCATGTGAGATGGATCAGCTCGGCTTTCGGGCTTCGCGGGACTCCATGGGCAAGAGATTGGATGTGTATCAATAGGCATACCACCACATGACCCAAAAAGTATATAAGTTAAAGAGTATTAGTTGGAAAGTCAGTCTCATCATGGGCCACCTGGGTCTGGGTGGTATGGGGGCCCAGTAGAATTCTGTCCATTTCCGTCCTTGTGTCCCAAAGTCAGCATCCCGAAGAAAGCGAACTCCGCAGCAAGTCTATCAAACTTCAAAGTAGGCGGCCTACACCACCATGTTGGAAGGTCATATTCGGAGAGCCTCTTCATAGATTCCAAGATGTTGCGATTATGTGAGCCCCTTCGCGACGTGAATCTCTCGCGCGGTACAGCCTCTGCACCGCCTGCCATCCCATGTGACCTGCCGCCTACACCGCTGCCGTCGGTTTCTGCCGGATGCAGGGCAGCGCACCCTCCATGTACATAGCAGGTGCAGGGCGTCGAAAGGAAGCAGAAACCACGAGAATACCTCACATTTGCAGGAAAATCTACAGGAAAACATTGGTTTGGGCATTTAAAGCCGACTTTGCTGCAGATCCTTCTGCAACATCCTGTGACCGATCAGCGACAAGAGTTTCTGAATGAAGTTCTCATGCAAACGCTTCCTTGAACCCCACCTCTGGTTCACGTCGTGGACTGATTCCACGCTATCTCTTTGGCCCAGATTGTCAAGAGCTGGCGAAAAGCAGGGCACAGCACTCGGTGCCGCGAAAAAACGTCCTGATGTAGTAGTTGGTCGGGAGCATACAAGTACCCTCAAAAAGATCTCCCAGCGAGAGATTTGGACTCAGTATCTAGACTTATGTCACTGCCAAAAACCGTATGTTGTTTCCCAGAAGCGCCCTCGCGACTTATAGTGTGTGGTTGGATGCTGGTTTTGTGGAGATAAATCTTCCAAAGGGCTCCACAGAATTTTCAAGTTTGGTTTCTGTTCTTCCTGTTGGTTTGGAACCTTTGGAGAGCTTGGTCCAAGGGGTCCTTGATACTTTGCTCCTATAGACACTGATTGCTCCAAATCGCTAAACGGATAGTCTGCAAATGCTCATTACAAGCAAGTCCTTGACCCGTTTTTAAACCCCGGGACCCTGAAGGGCCTTGTACTTGCAAGACACGTGACAGCAAGCAGAGAGGAGCTACCAGAGCTGCACAGAAGCTGGAATTCTTCGGCCGGCCACTGACTGAACACTCTGCTCAACCAAACTGTTCAACCGAACACTTGGTTCTGTCACCCCGTTCAACCAGTCTTTGGCTTTCCAAAAAGGCATCTACTGGCCACACAAAAGACCCTGTTCAATTTTCTTTGGGCTCAAATCCGACATGGGCCAAATGTAAAAGTCTCACGCACACCTTTTGGTTTCCCCGCAGACCTCTTTGACGTTTCTTGGTGATAGCAACAAGATGCAACAAGATACTGTAACCAACCAGAAATAGCCTGATTCTTACATCATGTCAGTTCTTGATCAAGTAGCCTTGGCTCAGCGCTTCTCTTGGGAACCGCCCTCCTTTCGCCAACGACGCCCGCTTCTCCACCACGGTGTCACCGCAGCCGCAGCCGCATGAATCTTCGGACGGCGTGACTCCTCGCTGCCAGATCGCGCTCAATGGACAACGGGTCACCGAAGCCACCTTCGCCCTGCCCACCGAAAGGCGTGCCGTCCGTCGTCGGTCAGCGGCGAACGGCGTGCACCGCGTGGGTGAGAATGAGATCTCCAGGCGGTATCTTTCGGTGCTCTTGCCATGGTGGAATTGATGGCCGCCTTACGGGCTTACGATGAGTGTATGAACAGTCATCTTTTCCAAAAAGATGCCGGTGTCTGTTTTGTACGTAAGTGTTAACAAGAACCTGTCAGTGTTACGGGAGTGGCAAATTCCCTGGCCACTTGGCGCTTCGGGGTCAAGAACGGTGGTGGAAATCGAGGATGACGCGAATCGTTTTGAATTCCCACACCGGGGAGTGGATGGAGACGTTGTTCTTTTCGGATATCTCTTTAAAAAACAGTCCGATTCAGTAAGTGTGTGAAGGGTCTCCAGTTGAGGCCATCACCCCGGAAACATCTGGAGACAGTGGAACAACGTTCACCCATGGTTTTCAACACGTTTAAACAGCCGCCTTTGTCAAGCTTTCGCGGGATGATCTCCCAGTACTAGTCTCAAGCCTCATAGCAGCGGCAGCAGTTTGCAGCAGCAGACGCGCAGGCCTTTGTATGCAGTGGTTGATCTGATTGGTGCTGGGTGGCCAAGCTGGCGTGGAGCTGGCGAGGATCAGTCACAGGAGGATCGAAACGGTAGGGGTGGTCGTGTTACCGAGTCCTTGGTGTTCTTGCAAATCAGTATCGGATACCTTAAGGTATATGTCCAATAGATGAGCATGTTTGCATGTATGTGTGGAGCCATCATATGCGGTGTTCCTCCATGTGGAAGCACATGCACGATTCGTGTTGACTCTTGTTCAATCACCAGACTCTTCAAAAGGATTTCAAGGCCTCATGCTAGTAGTCTCTCAACCGAAGATGGGGCCATATGAGAAGGGGTATTATGGCTGTGGGTCGTGGCACTCAGAGCCCCTTTCACTCACCCTGGTAACCTTGACCTCCCAACTCGGTCGTCGATTCTGTTCATGGACTCTGGTGGGAAATACATCCCAGGGTCTCCTGGTGCCATATGACTCACAGCTATATGGGGGGATATGGGGGTGGTTTATAACCCAAACACTCCATGGGACTGCCATAGGACTGCCGCCCCAGACAGACCCCTCTGGCACCACCCCAACTGAGCAAAAAGGTGACGCACATACACATCGGATTGTCCGTTTGAGTCGCCCATTTGAGGGAACGAGCGATTGCTTTTTGCGCGTCTCCGGGTCAGACAGTGAAGAAAAGTGAGGGCAAATGACATCACTGCTTGTGCTCTTAGGTGCCAAATCATTTCGCACCCTCCTTTGCGCCCCAAGCGGCATCCCACTGTATCTAAACCGAAGGGGCCAAAAAAACCCAGCACCGCGACCCACCGCGCGGCCTTCGATCAGCCGTGACCGGACCACCGGGGTTGCTGTGCTCGCCGACGGGCCTTCTCGACGCCGCGCTGCGGAACGCACCGAGGCCACCCGCGCGGTGGCGTTCCTGCCGGAGGAGCGTCCCGACTTCGACCTGGTTGGGTGCGGAAGCTCGAGCCGAGATGACGTGTGGGTGGAGATTTTCTGGCGGTGTGCAGGTTGGAGGTGTGGGGTTTCGAGCTGGGAAGTACGGAAGAAAAAGTGATTGGAAACGCATTGAATGATTCGATCTAAAGTCCTTGTTTTTCCCTGCCCGAACCCACTCCACTGAACACGTATACTGTCTGGAGTCTGGACGTCGTCGATGAGACGCACGGCGCCGTGGGTCGCCCGAGGCCGAAGCTGGTCTTTGTGCCGCCCTTGCTTCGCCGGACACCCCAGAGACACGAGAGGCGCGTGAGACGCTTCGCCGTGTGCGGTCTGACGTGTGCGGGTCACGGGTGTTTTGTTTGGAAACCGCCTTGGGGAAGGGTGGAACGGAGACATGTGGCAAGCTGTGGCAAGATATGCTGGCTTAGGGAAAGCTGGTGTATTTGGTGAATTGGAGGATGATCTTGCTTCCAGTTGGTTTGCTTCTGCTATCTTGAATACTTGCAAGTTTACAAGTGAAGTTATAACCTACCATGTAAGTGTAAATTGATGTAAACCGTTGGGGTTCCCGTTCTTGCGGTAAAGCCTGGCCCAAAAAGCATATGGTTTCAAATAGTTTGCAGAGCAACATCACGTTGGTGTTGTTGTTTTCACCTGGTAATCCACTGCTATTGCCCAAACTAGACACTTGAGGAATGAGTGAGATACATGTGAGAGATCCATTGGCAATGTGTGTTTCTTTGTTGATCTGATCTACACATGGTCGTGTGGCATGGGTCTGTGCTTCCGGTTCGTAGGTCTTGCAACATCTTCACGCCTTGGCGCAGATGTTGCTGGTTCGCGCGTTCGACCTGCAGACGAGCTAGAACTTCAGGCTAGCTTGCTGGCTGGCTTGCTGGCTAGATGTTCTTTCAACATGACCATGGCTCAAGGATTAAGACTCAAAGACCCAAGGTTTTGCTTGTCATGTGTTCCATTGTACTAAAAAGGACTTAACGGGGCAACCCTAGCAGGTATTTGGATGTCCAAACATGTCCAAACAAGTGTCTTGCATTGTGTCGTATTGGACACTCATATTCATGAATTATGGCCTTCGAATGGCAGAGTCCACCTCTTTGATGTGTTGAACAATGTTTGATCTCCGACGTGTAAAAGAGCTTTGCAAGACCATGTTATCTTCGGTCTTCCTTCACAAATCAGACAGCAAACTTGCTTCCACGTGGTGGGTGTGCATGCCTCCACCCCGGCCACAATGGGCCACAATCAGATCAATAGGGGGATGACGTGATTGCGCTCTAATTCATTAACATGGAAGTGGATGCCATTCGGCCAGAAGACGAGCTTCCTTCTCACAGGGGGTGACCATGTCCTGCGGCGCGAGTGGACGCAGTCCTTCGACATCGCCCGGTCCGCGCGCTGGTCCTGGTCAGCCACCCCGGTCCGCGCGGATCGCGCGGATCGCGGGCATCGCGGGCATCGCGGTCGCTCGATGACGCCAAGGAGAAGATCCCTTCCTGGCACCCTCAGAGGCAGGTACTGGTACCTGGTGAGAGAAGCTGGGATGCTGGGTGAGCAAAGCAACCGTTGGTCTCGAAATCCACCGCTGGGTCAGATGGGTTTGGGGGGGTGTAGGTCAGGCGTTTTGTCAAAATCCGATGATGCCTTGGATTCAGAACGGGCGTATGGGTCAGATGTGGTGCGCTCCTTAGGGGGCCGTGGGGCGGACGAGTTCGGAGGGTTCTGTTGGAAGTGACGTCGGGTGGCGAATGGGTTCCTCACGTTGGGTTCCACCTGTTAGATTGGAAAGCCGAATCAGTGCG